GCCTTCACTCATCGTGCAAATATGAACCAGACTAAGTGATTACATTTCTCACAGACAGACAGACATCCTGTGGCAGCGATACAGTCACCAGTTTCACAGCAGAAACGATCATCTTAAAACAAATGATGCCGGACGGCCGGCGGTTATTTGTTATATCACGTGTGCACGATATATATTCCAGGGTGGCAATCTGTGGGTACCTCACAGTCGGATTTGATCCTAGGGCTATTAAATTAAATAAAATGAATCGATTACGGCAATAAATTCCCGGGTACACGTTTTCTCTTTTTGAAGATGAGTTAGAAGGCTGATGCTGACGGCAGCAGCCTTCTGGTCGCGTTGCAAGAAACTAACTTTTTTCATTACTTTAACTATCTACTACTAGCTTTTCTATCTATCCATCCATCTATCTCATTAGCTGTCTAGCTATCTTGTTATCTATCTAGCTATCTAGTTAGCTATCTCAGTAGCTATCTATCTCATTAGCTATCTATCTCATTAGCTATACTTTTCTATCCATCCATCCATCTCATTAGCTGTCTAGCTATCTTGTTATCTATCTAGCTATCTAGTTAGCTATCTCAGTAGCTATCTATCTCATTAGCTATCTATCTCAGTAGCTATCTATCTCATTAGCTATCTATCTCAGTAGCTATCTATCTCATTAGCTATCTATCTCAGTAGCTATCTATCTCATTAGCTATCCAGCTATCTGTCCGTGTGGCCAGCCACCGCTAGCAATTTCCTTATCTGTCTGTGTGGCCAGCCACCGCTAGCAATTTCCCTAGATGTCACAGTTAAAACCGCGTGTACAACTGGCTTTTTTTCAAGTATTGTATTATGGTTATTCCACCAAAAGGTGTTGTCCTTACTCCTATCTATCTATCTATCTATCTAGCAGTTTAGCTAGCTAGCTAATTTTCAAGTAAGCATATTTCAGATCCATAACCAAATTGATCTCGTATACATTTCCTTTCATTACTGCAAATGGAGCAGTATTTCCCTTGTGGTTTTGGACAAACATCTGCATGTTGACAGGCGTAAATCTCCCTTCATTCACAAATAAATTATAGTCACGAAGAAACGTCAAACATCGCATGGAGGAAAGAGAATTCTTCAAGAAAATAAAAGTGAATTAAATTAAATTAATCCAACGCTATAAAGTGTCCACACAGACATTCCTTTAACTGTAAGTAAAGGAAAAAGGAGGGACACAGTCAATATGTCCCTGGGGTGATATCAAACCACCATTGTGACTCGCACACAACATCCCTTTATCATTTTGACCCCGGTGATCACATCATTCTGCCTGTGGGTCAGGGTGTGGTCACCTCCTTTGTTTTTGCCGTAGCGACTCTCTTAGGTATTTGTCCACTCTGAGGGGAAATACCAATAGTCAGTTAGAAGAAGATGAAGAAGGTGAACTGTCCTCCAGAAACCAAAGGCAGCCCAGTTGCCCTCTACTTGACTTGGCTTGGGATTGTGTTTCCTGAGTATATATATGGTGTCTCTTGTCCACCTCACTTCCTCTCTTTACTTCATAAAGAAGTAATGCTGTACGCCGAATGTCATTGTTCCCTGACCTGTGGCTCTAGTTCAGCCATGTTTACGGGAACCTCTCAGGTGATCAGGTTTGTCACGTTAGCTGTTTGTTTACTGAACTTAGCTCGTCGTTGACATAATAGAAGGCACATTTTGTTGTTGTTTTTTTTTTTTTTTAAATAGTTTTGGATTTTGTATTTATTGATTTCTGACTCTTATATTGTTTTTTTATATATCAAATATTTCTCCCACTCTTTTTTTTATTCTGAATTCATATTTATTATAATCTATTTATTATATTTTTTTGGTAATAAGCAGTAAGCATTCAATTCCAATTTTCAAATCTAGGTTTTATTGACGGCTAAGTCGGTGACATACAGATGAACTAACAAAAAAAAAGTTTTGCATCTTCTTTTCGTCACTTCACAGTGGAATTACTGCTGTTATATTAAACATTTGAGGACTTTTTTTTTTCATTTTGAACCCTGTCATCTGAACTGCTGTCAGTGCTGACTACACTGTTGCCCCGTACCAGGACTGTAGTAGCTAAAGTCAGCTCTGGTGTCTGTGCTCACAGCAACAGGAGGTGATAAGTGCAGGTCTGGTGTGCTGCAGTGATAAGAAAACACTTTGCTGCACACAAACATGCTCTTGTTCTAGATGGCATTGGGACGTTTTAAAAAAAAAAAAAAAAAAGAAGTATGATTTGCAGTCCTCATTTATTTGTTTTACTTGGGAGTCCAAATATGTAGATCCTGACATGCTACAAGATCACAAAGCTTGAGTAAATAAAAATAAATATTATGCATATATATATATAGAAAACTAAATCATATTATGCCATACAGCTACATGCATTTAATCAGTACCAAGAAATATTATTATTATGTACAATATTTACTAAGCATTTTCAGTATATGTCAGTAGTCACAAGCCCAAAAAGTGTTTCTGTCCTTGGATTAAAATAACTTAATTTTTCTTAAGGTAAACTTAAAAAACGGTTACACTCATTTGTATATTTTATATATTAACCAACACCAACAGCCTCGACTGCTGCGAACGCAGCGTTCTGTTATCAGCTCCCAGTGAAAGCACCGTTTGCTGACATTGGAAACTTCGTTTTGCCTGCAGTTAAATCCTCAACTCAACACATTCCCTAATGATAACAAGCAACAGTTGAGACCAGAACCTGGTTAGCCAGTTTTGACAACTACTCCATTCACAAACAGGGATCTGCATCCATAAAGATGATGATGATCTGTGCCCTTCACGCTCAGTTACAGTTGATTTCAAGACTTACATAGAAGTTATCCAATATACCCTAGGCTTTACGGCTTGGTTTTATAACATCATTTATTAAACAGAGCGGCAACGCGTGGCATGTTGATAAGAAAATAGTTTTCTGTAAACAGTTTTAGTCATAATGTGTGTTTTCTGTTTTTCTCCACAGGTTCCAATCTTCAGTAAAAAGGAGGAGGTTTTTGGGTACTTGGCCAAGTACTCGGTACCCGTAATGCGTTCGGCATGGATGATCAAGATGACGTGCGCGTATCATGCTGCGATCACCGAGACTAAAGTCAAGAAGAGGCACGTGATCGATCCTTGTATTGGTAAGCAGACTGTGATTACCGGCCGTTTTCAGGCTTGAATTCCGAACAATGATGTGGACGAGGCTAGCATACATGGACTGGACAAGGCTAGCAAAGCCTTCTCTGCTGACTGAGTATCAGAATTAGTGACTTTTTTTTTTTTATGTATTTATCGTGAATATTTATAAAGGAATACAGAGTAGTAGTTCTCATCTTTTTATGAGTTCTCTCTTGGTTAGTTGTGTATATTTATACTCTGCCTTAAGACCTTCAGAATCAACACCCTAAACTGAATGGCAGTTGTAATTATTTCATTAACGAATCAGATTTTGAGTTTGCAACACCAAAGTCTTTCAGTTGGCCTCGGTTATGTTGGTGTTTTGAGTGATTTGATTGGAAGGGTTGGGATTAGGTTTGTTGCTTGTTGACATAATTTTTTTAACAGCAGCATCTCTGTGTTGTTGAAACGCATTTTTCATTTTCGTTCCATCTTTGCTACAGAATGGACCCAGATCATCACTAAGTACCTGTGGGAGCAGCTTCAGAAAGTGGCGGAGTTTTACCGACAGTTTCCCAGTCAGGGCTGCAGCTCTCCGCTCCCTGCCACTCCCACTGACGTGGAGACGGCCACGAAGCAGTGGGAGTACAACGAGAAACTGGCCATGTTTATGTTTCAGGTCAGTTCAATTTCCGAGCTCAGGTATTCATCCCAAACCGTACAATACAGGATGTTTCCTACAAATACATATACAGGTGTGCACATGTCTAACTATATTTAACAGTGGTGTAGAAAGTAACGTGGTTGTTGTAGCTGTGTGTTATTCTGTAATAGGATGAAAGACTAAAGTGTGTTCAAATTGTTAATGCAAAACTGTAAGGATAATCCCATTTGGGAGAAGATTCCAATTAGAGATAACTGATGAATGTCACGAAGGTTAATGGATTCACTGAATCGTATTATTTCTCTACTGTGATCATCGCGTTCAGCTCATTAAAAATGTGTGTAAATTTGCGTGTATTCAGGACGGCATGTTGGACAGGCACGAGTTCCTGACTTGGGTGTTGGAGTGTTTCGAGAAGGTGCGTCCCGGCGAAGACGAGCTTCTGCGACTCCTGCTGCCTCTTCTGCTGCAGGTACAGCGCTATTTTAATTAACATTTGTGTGTTAGCTTTTAAGGTCCGAAACTACAGACCCCAGTTTTATTCCAAATTGGTGTAAAATTCAAACTTAAATCTGAGGATGTCCAATGTTAGCTTTTGCTGATGTCTGATATATTGTCCAAACGCTTAATTTCAAATTAGCGTTTTAGCATTAGCATTAGCATTTGTAAAAAAAAATATATAATTTTAAAGCGAAAGCAGGCGTTTGAAATAAACAAATGAATGATTTGACCTCAAAAGCTGTTGAGTTTTACCTAACTGTATGAGGAGTGATAGTGATATCACCGGACACGTGTCTCTCCTCTCCTTTGCAGTACTCAGGGCAATTTGTACAGTCGGCCTATTTATCACGGAGACTGGCTTACTTCTGCACACGTCGTCTCAATATGCTGCTCAGCGATGGGAGCCTCGGCCCCGGTGCCGGAGGGCATCCGGGCCACGGCATCCTGGCGCAGCAAGGCGGCGCCCTGCCCACCACCCCGACCTCACAGCCAGCAGGGGGAAACCAGCCTCAGACGCCCTTCACTGATTTCTACATCTGCCCACAGCACCGGCCCCTGGTGTTTGGCCTCAGCTGCATGTTACAGGTAATGTCAGTGTTAATATTTGACTGACGTACAGTCACAGTCCGATAGTTAGCAGTGATTACAGAGATGACGAGATCGCGAGTGCACCGTTCAGCTCGAGGGCAGCTCCTCCAGTGTATTAGGTTTATTGTTTATGAACAAAGAGCAGGATGTCATTACTGCACCCGCTGAAGTGTGGTGCTATAAACGCACATGGAAACCCCTGTTGTTGACTGCATGAGTGCTCGGCTAAAAGCCTGTGACCTAAAACTTTTTTTCACAAAAACAAGATTATCATCATTTGTACTTGTTAAATAAACGGGTTCCTGCTCTTGTTGATTCGACATTTCCAATCATTCTGTAATGAAATCCTAAAACAAGTCATTTCTTTTTCTTTTTTTTTTCTTGCTTTTCTGTGCCATCAGAGCATCGCGTTGTGTTGCCCCAGCGCTCTGGTGTGGCATTACTCCCTGACAGACAGCAGAAACAAGACTGGTTCTCCTCTGGACCTCCTCCCCATCGCTCCGTCCAGTTTACCGATGCCGGGAGGCAACACAACCTTTACACAGCAGGTAGCGCCGTCCACGCTCAGCCAGCTGTTTCTCTCTCTTGTCGGTCCTTATGTGCAGAGCTCTTTTCCAGAGAGTAATTGAATAAAAACGAAATAGAACAGTAATTCACTGCAGCAACAAAACAAAATCCAGATGCATATAAAATAGTAATTGCAGTAAAATCAACCCAGAGAGAGAGAGAGAGAGAGAGGGGTTAACAAGTTTTCAGTTATGACTGAAGCCTGCCAGGTCTGAACAACATTATTGTTCAGAGCAGCTGGAAGAAGATAAGAATCTCTAATAAACAGCAGAAGAGAATCTGGCCGTGATTTCTCCCATTAGTTTTTGCTTCTTTCTTTTTTCCCCAATCATGTGGGACTTTTTATTTCCCAGATGAAAGGATTACCTTCTCTGAACCTCTCTGTTACCCACAGGTCCGTGTGAAGTTGAGAGAAATAGAGGAGCAAATTAAGGAGCGAGGCCAGGCGGTGGAGTTCAGGTGGTCGTTTGATAAGTGCCAGGAGACCACGGCGGGTAAGAAAACACTTTAATTATCTCCGCAGGCGTTCGCCGACAGCACACGGGGCTTTTTTTTCGCGGAAGGGAACAAAGACTGACACTTGAGACGATGTTTATCTGTTGCCAGGGTTCACCATCGGACGAGTTCTTCACACCCTGGAGGTTTTAGACAACCACAGTTTTGAGAAGTCCGACTTTAACAACTCGCTGGATTCGCTCTACAACCGCATCTTTGGCTCAGGACAGAGTAAAGATGGCCACGAAGTAAGAACGCTTTCTCCTATCAAACGCTTTGGATTGAATTGGGTTTCATTGATCCTGACAGAACACATTCTTTTGCTGGTAATCTGACAAGCCAATGAATAACTCAGCCCATGTTTTTTAACATGGTTTATATATCCTCCGTATATCAATATAAACTATATAGTCTCAAGGAATAATATTTTTTTAAAAATTTTAGTAAAGTAATGTTTTGCTCTTATTGCAGTGAAATACTGATAATTCACAGGTAAACACTATAAAATATTGTTTCAATTTTTTTTTTTTTCCCCTAACATGCGATGCAGAAATGTCTGAATTGTCTGTTAAATGTCATTAGCGTTGGGGAATCTACTGACCACTAACAACTGTAATAACCGACCCTGTGATGATCAAAGCTGGCTTCCCAGTAACTTTTTCCCCCTTGCGTGCAGATGTCTCCCGATGACGACGCCGTGGTCAGTCTGCTGTGCGAGTGGGCAGTTTGCTGTAAACGCTCAGGCAGACACAGAGCCATGGTGGTGGCCAAGCTGCTGGAGAAGAGACAGGCAGAAATAGAAGCTGAGGTAAAAGATGGGAAACTTTCAACCTTTTTTTTTCAGGTTAATGTCACAGCCACAAAAATACTGTTAGATCGGGAAGGACTTCCTGTGAGGTCATTGGTACTTCTTACTTTATAACTACAGGTCCGTGGCAGCTTAGAGGGCATTCATTTCCAGTCACACACACACTTCAAATCTAGTTTTTCAAGGCTGGAGTTTGTGGAGCGTACACAGCACCAGGTGTTTGTCAGAGGCAGCAGCAGTGATTAGCTCTTCCTGGACTCATGACCCTGCTAAACACACCAGCCCCTACAGCCGAAGCAGAAAATGGCCGATTTTTTTACCGCGTTGTTGTTTGAAAACGGCTGCCTCTGCTATTGATTTTAGAAGAGTTCCTTAAATTTTCACGTCACTTATTAGGGGGTCTGTGTTGGCAAGAATCGGCCGATACATTTCGTATCACATTACGATGTTTTGTGATATGCAGTGATACTATAGGCACAACAATATATTGAGGATTTTTTTTTAAATATTTTGATTGTAGGAAGAATGTCAGCAGAGTAAACATGCGATGCTGTTCCATGCTTGTTACTAAAATCGGAACAGAGAAGAAATAAAAGCATTTGCAGGAATTTCCGGATAAACCAATGAAAAAAACTTTAATTGTTTGACTCAGAACCTCAAATACTTGCAAATATATGCAGTCCCTGTACAATCAAGTAGCATTCCGGGGTTTGAATTCAACACAAAAATGAACCAACGCCACAAATATTTGCATGTCTACTGTTATATAGAATACAGATACAGCCTTGTGAATTGAAATATCGCGATATTTCAGTGTGTAGATGTTTTTTTACACCACTATGTTTGCTCTGCTAATTTTTTTTTTTTTTTTTTTTTTGTGATGTTTTTAGAGATGTGGTGAGTCAGAGGTTGTGGATGAAAAGGGCTCCGTATCTTCAGGCTCCCTCTCTGCCGCTACGTTACCAGTCTTTCAGGAAGTGTTGCTGCAGTTCCTGGACACTCAGGCTCCAACGCTGAGTAAGTCTGTAATTTTCTGCTGTTATGATTTTCATACGCATCGAACATGATCCGGATGCTCTCGAAGAAAGCCCGGATTCCTTGGATTGCCTTTGTTTCCACGAGCCACTGCATATTCATTAGGAGTTTTCTGTCTCTCTCGGCTCAATTATTCACGTGCTCCTCTCTCCCCCGGCAGCCGAGCCTGGAAATGAAAGCGAACGAGTGGAGTTCTCCAACCTGGTCCTGCTCTTCTGCGAGCTCATCCGACATGATGTTTTTTCGCACAACATCTACATGTGCACGCTCATCTCCCGCGGCGACCTGGCCTCTGACTCCCACCTGCCGCGCCCTCGCTCCCCCATCGACGAGCCCTCCGACGAATCCGAACGCAAAGAGCAGGAAGCGGGTGGCAACATGAAGATGGAGGCACGACGGAGAAATCCATTCCTTTTTTTTTTCTTCTGTTTCTGTGTGTTATCTGTTCATACTACTGACTAAAACTGATTTGTTTTTCACAGGACACTGGTCTGTCAGAGTCCATGGAGATTGATCACAACTCAAGTGCACACTTTGATGAGGTAAATAATAGTGCTGCACACTTGATTGCCAATTGCAAACAAAGTATTTTTTTAACTCGTATGCGCATACAGAGACATATACGCAGGATCCATGTCATCATATAAACACATCTGAAGCGTTTATTGTATGAAAGTTGCCTTTGTTATTTCAAGAAGAAGGCGACGTGCCCTTAACTTGTAGCGTAATATTGTTAAAATCTTTTTTTTTTTTTTTCCCACCTTATATAATTGAGTAGACTTAAAGAAAAAGCAGCAAAAATGCTTTGGAGTTTTAAATGCATTGCAAATCCTCAGTCTTGAACACAGTGCCGTCGGTCACAGTTGCACTTTTTACAGCCCTGGTAAATAAAAGAACGGAGAAATACAGACATGTCAGTATATCAGTTAACAAGTTTTGATTAAAAAGGCCTGAGAAAGTAATTATCATTGCGATTCGAAGCCAGAGCTGACATTTCGCCCTTGTGCATTTGTCTCTGCTTTAACTGTTCTCAAGTGTATTTTAATCGCAACTGTGCTGCTGTAGCTTCCAAGTGATTTCTGCTCAATCCTGCCTCTATTTTCTTTTCTTTTTCTTTTTTTTTGTTACCTTCGTTCCATGCAGATGTTTTCCCCTCCCATGCACTGCGAGTCTAAGGGCAGTCCGTCTCCTGAGAAACCAGCTCTGGACCAGGACAACAAGGCGGGCTGTAAAGACAAAGGCCTGGACCCAGCTTTTCCTCAGCTGTACGAACAACCACGGCACATTCAGTACGCCACTCACTTTCCCATTCCACAGGTGAGGAGGCTCGGTATTACTACAGCTCCGTAATGTGCTTTTGATGATAAAACCGCCCTGGAAGTGAATTGTATTTGCACCAACTCCCGCCGTGCTGTACGAGTTAGTAGTAGTTCCATTTTGGAATTACCTCCCATTTGCATTGTCGAACGTCGGTGAGCGTTCATTTTGGAATTACCTCCCATTTGCATTTGTTTGTTCGTCTTTCCCGCAGGAGGAGAGCGCCAGCCATGAGTGCAACCAACGGCTGGTGGTTCTGTACGGCGTGGGCAAACTGCGAGACGAGGCGAGGCACACCATCAAGAAAATCACCAAAGACATCCTGAAGGTGCGGAACCGTAAAATCACAGCAGAAACAGGTGAGGCTCGGGGGGCTTCGTGTCACCAGCCTTTGACTGATGTCGGATTCCCGTCGTTTTCCCTCTTCGGCTGATAGTTTTACACGGAACCCGGAGCTGTGGATGATGCGGTTTGTCTCTCAGCCAGCTGTCGTCGAAGAGTTTTTGTTTTTTTTTTAAACATTTCATCAGTTTTATTGTAGCTTTTTATCACGCTGAGGAATGAAAATGATGTCGGTAAAATTGCCTTCGAGTTTTTAACTGTCTCACAATTTATGAAGTGTAATTTCACCTGCAGCTGTCTGTCGAATATCAACGCCTTCATGTTGATAAATCGTTTTAAATATTGGAGGAATCTGAAGCAGGAGGTTTATCCTAAATACGTTTCTGTAAAATGTTGAGACACGCTGCTAATTTTGATGTGGGATTACACGGAGTTTAGATTGGGATCTGGCAGTAGATCACATGAATGTAAAAGAAATATATATTTTACAATTTTTTTTTCAGTGTAGATAGATCGCTTAAGTCTGGTCCCAAGCTGAAAAAATGTGGGCACCCCCGGTTTAGGGTAACCAGGAGCGGAAGTTGTCAGATAGATTTTGGAGTTAAGTCAATATGACATCACAAACGTTGACGTGAGTCTCTGTGACTTGGACCTGGTCCAGAAACTCTGAGACTAAACTTATTTCGTCTTGGACCTCGAGTCCTACAGTATTTCTCCAACAAATACTGCGCGCAGTGTTTCTTTTCTCAGAGTTATTTTCCCAAGACGCTGCTTTATCTTAAGTTCTCCGCTCTACAGGTGGTGAGGAAGGACAGAAGAGGAAGAGGAGTAAGCCCGAAGCTTTCCCCACCGCCGAAGATATTTTCTCCAAATTCCAGCACCTCTCTCACTTTGACCAACACCAGGTCACTTCACAGGTAAGCCGAAACAAAGGCAGTCTAAAACTGTAAAAAAAAAAGAAAAGAAAAAAAAGACGTCGTTCACGTCATTTCATTATGCTGTTTTGTTTGCGTGTAGGTTTCCAGAAACGTCCTGGAACAGATCACCAGCTTTGCCTTAGGAATGTCCTACCACCTTCCTCTGGTCCAACACATTCAGTTCATCTTCGACCTCATGGAGTATTCCCTCAACATCAGCGGCCTCATTGACTTTGCCATTCAGGTTCTCTTTAGCTTCTCTCAGCATTTAAGGGCCCAATCCGCGGGGATCGCCGGCGTGTCGTGACTCCCTGTGTTTTGTTTGTGTTTTATTGGCAGCTTCTGAACGAGCTGAGTCTGGTGGAGGCCGAGCTGCTGCTCAAGTCGTCCAGTCTGGTGGGCAGTTACACCACCAGCCTGTGTCTGTGTATCGTAGCTGTGCTCAGAAGATACCACTCTTGCCTCATCCTCAATCCCGAGCAGACTGCACAAGTTTTTGATGGGTATGGCTCAAACGTAATCGTTATTTACATTGTTAAAACTTTTTTTTTTTTTTTTTGTCAACACAAATAAGTACGATAATATTGTCCATCCGATATCATCGGAATCGATTTTTTTTTAAACGCAATGCCTAGGTTTCGCCCACATGATGTGACCTAAAATTAGTTTTGCAGTGAAAGTGAATTGTTTTTATTGTGAGACAGTACACCAGTGCACACAAAAATGTGTCCTCTACCTTTAACGCAAACGGCTGCATTTATTGCTACGAGTTGATATCAGAATCGGAAATCAAGTGTTTGGACCACGCATGGCCAACCTGCGGCTCTTTACCCAGTTTCATGTGGCTCTTGTGTTTGTGTTTTTTTTACGCTCTGTGAATCTCATGCCGATGGGCCTTGACGCAAATTTTCTTAGGGAAACTCCAATTTGCACAGATGAAAGGATGTACGCAGGAAGTTTTAAAAATAATGGGAGAGTTTTATTTTATTTCTTTTAAAGGGATGGGGCAGTTCACATGTGCCCATGTATTGTATATTATGTGGCTCTTTGCAGTAACACAGTAAAAATTGTGGCTCTTGACTGGTTGGCCACCCCTGGTTTGGACAATGTCGGCACATCGAATATTGGCAAAAAGTTAATATCGGACACCCGTAGTTAAATGCCTGCAAATTATTCTCACACTAACATAAAATCATCATAATAAATAATATCAGCTACATTTGAGTGCATGTAAATAATTAGCCAGGCTCCTATGCTTCTTAGATTTTTCTAGTTTTTATTAAATGAACCAAAGAGGACAGTTGTTTCCTGGACAGTTTGCCCCTTTTTTCTGCAGGCAATGAAAGTGTTGACAGGGTTAAGGTATCAGTTGAGATTTTAATTAAAAGTAATTAAAAAAAGTTAGTGCAGTTTTCTGCTGTGTACGTCTAATAAGTGCACATATTGTCTCAGAGGTGCAGACGGGACACCTGGCCTGATCTCAGTTATATTTTTGGTCCGTGTTACTGAGGTTTTTCATCTCGTTCTGTTGCTGAAGTTGTTACAGTCACTTTCTGTTAAGACAGTGTCTAAGGAGTGACTTGATGCCAAAAGCGTCACAGAAGGATGAGGGATTACAGCAGGCTGCTATAATAAAAGTGAATATTATGGATTAGCTGCGACAGAAAGATTTAGGTTTTATTTACTTCATTGTTTTCTCACTTACATAATGGAACACTTTTTATTTCTAATTAAAATGGGATTTGCTCACCGCCGCCCACACACACACACACACACACACACAACCTACCGTAATAGTTCACAAATCACATTCATGAATCCTAAATTTGACTTAACAAGTCGCCTCATTCGTCTGTGACCTTTAACAAAATTTTCAAACTTTTAAACGAGTTTTTATCAATATTCTGTACGACGTTCTGCAACTGACTTTATTGAACTGTAGCTGCAGTTCATTTTTGTCAGTTCAATACGACACAATTAAATCCACATTTCATGTTTGTGATGTTCTCTTCATACGTGTGTGTGTTTGTGCGTGTGACAGGTTACGTATTGTGGTGAAGTCCGGCGTGAACCCAGCGGACTGTTCCTCGGCCGAGCGCTGCATCCTGGCCTACCTGTACGATCTTTACACCTCCTGCAGTCACCTGAAGAACAAGTTTGGTGAAATTTTCAGGTGAGAAAAGATCTTGGGGTAGTTTTTAAAATAGCTGAAAGTCAGTAAAGGGATATTTTTTGAGTATAAAAGAAAATATTCTTTAAATATAAAAATATAATAAAATAATTATTTGTAAATAAACTTTACAAATAGTATGTATGTAGTGACAGTTGATGCCAATTATGTTTATAAAATTAAAATTAAAATAGAAAATGTATCACTACAGTTAATTTACTCATGAACCAAATCGTGTGAAGTTTTTGTACTTTATATTTGTTTATTATTTGAATTTATATAATTAACTAGTCTATTTTTGCTGTAATCAACACCCAGTTTAAAAGTAGAAAGGTTTGGGCCTGTGGTTAGGCTGTAATTTATTTTGCCTCCTAGCATGCTCAAAATAGCATTACAAATGCTGTGCAACTTAGTTTGCTAGTTAGCAAATGATCTTTCATCAACTTTTTCTCCATGGACCCACATTACATTAAAATGTATTTTTAACATATTTAAAAAAAGAAAATGGTAAGATAGAAAAGTACAATTCTCCTCTCTGCCTCTGGTTGAAACACATTTACTGTCTCCATAAAAAAAAACCTCAAGACTGATCAGTTCCTGAGGGGGGGGAAAACTACAGTTAACCAGCTCTTTCTAGCGTTACCCTTGGGCTTTTGTGCTGTCGATTTTAATAATCAGAGATGCAGCTGTGAGAGTCCACTCAAAATTCCAGCTTTGATCTTTGGGCTGCATCCAAAACGTACCATTGATATGGGTCTCTCTGCTCTGTTAGGATGAACTCGGACGTATTTGTTCTCACCATGAATATTCTCTACACTTCTGTTTCCTCCACATTCAGTGAGTTTTGTTCTAAAGTGAAGAACTCCATCTACTGCAACATCGACCCGTCGGACTCCAACATGCTGTGGGATCCTGTTTTCATGATGGAGGCCATTGCCAATCCGTCAGCCCACAACTTCAACCACTCCATGGTGGGCAAGATCCTCGACAGCCCGGCCAACCGCTACAGTTTTGTGTGTAACGTTCTCATGGACGTGTGTGTCGACCACAGGGACCCTGAGAGGTGATTGGATTTTTCTTCACTCCTATTAGTTTACCGTATTTTCCGGACTATAGAGCGCACCTGAATATAAGCCGCACACCCACTAATTTTTAAAAAAATATATATAAATTTACACATATCATTTGTTTAAAAAAATATATAAATTTACACATATAATCCGCACCGGACTATAACCCGCCGATATTAGGGCTGAGGAATGACATATTTACTGGATACGCAGAAAGATTTTGTACCGTAAATTTTTATTTATATACCTGAACTGATTGTTTCCGGACAGTGCCTGTAACACGACAGTGAAAGTGCCGATCGAACAAAACAGAAAAGTAATTGATGGCTTTATCCGTCTTCCTCCTGCGCACTGAAACCGCTCGGAGTTGAGCAGCCTCAAAAAAAACGTCGTCACATACCGTTTTAGTCTCTCTGTCAGTGTCTCTCTCTCCGTGTCACTGTCATCCCGAGGTAAAGTTGCCTCTCTTCTTCCCGCTG